ATTAGCAAATATAAAGGGAGAAACTGACAGTTACACAGTAAAAGCAGGGGACTACTTTAACACTTCACTTTACACCAATGGATAGATCATTTAGACAGAAAATCAATAAGGAAACATTAGCCTAAATGACATCTTACAGCAGATGAACTGAACAGATATTTACAGAACATAACATCCAAAAGCAACAGAATTTACATTCTTTTCAAGTGTACATGGAACATTATCCAGGATAGATCACATGTTAAGACATAAACCAAGTCTTAATAAATTTAAGGATTAAAATCATATATGGTGTCTTTCAAAGCACAATGGTATGAAACTAAAAATCAGTTACAAGAAGAAAACTAGAAAAACCACAAACATATGGAGACTAAACAACATGTTACTAAACAACTTAGGTTGTTTAGGGTCAATGAAAAAATCAAAGAGGAAATCAAATGAAATGTAAAGACAACAGTCCAAAATCTATGAGACACAGCAAAAGCAGTTCCAAGACCGAATTTTACAGTGATACAGGTCTACCTCAAGAAACAGGAAAAAAATCTCAAATAAGCAATTTAACTTTACACCTAAAGGAATAGAAGAACAAACCTAAAGTTAGTAGAAGAAAGATAATAATAAAGAGAGGAGAAATGAATGCAATATAGGCAAATCTTGGAGATACCATGGCTTTAGTTCCGGACCACCATAATAAAATATTAGTAAAGTGAACCAAATGAATTTTTGGTTTCCCAGTGCATAAAAAAGTTATGTTTAACATTACCCTCTTGTCTATTAAGTATGCAATAGGATTATGTCTAAAAACACAATGAATATACATTAATTAAAAATACTTTATTGCTAATAAATGTTAATCATCATCTGAATTTTCAGTGAGTCCTAATCACAGATCATCATAACAAATATGATAATAATTAAAATGCTTGAAATATTATAAGAATTACCAAAATGAAACACAGAGACATGAAGTAAGCAAATGCTGTTGGAAAAATGGTGCTGACAGACTTGTTTGGGGCAGGACACAAACCTTAATTTGTTAAAAAAAAAAAAAAGAAAAGCATCTGCAAAGCACAATAAAATGAGGTATGCCTGGAGTTAATAATACATAACAACTTCGTATGGTGACAGGATCTAGATTTAATGTGGCGATTGATTTGTAATGTATACGAATGTTGAATCACTATGTTGTACACCTGAAACTAACATAATATTGTATGTCAATTATACTCCAATTAAAAAAAAAGGTAAATCGTTTAGGTTAAAAAATTAAGTAAGTATAGTTGTTCCGAGGATATGGCAAAAATCATGGAAGTGTTAAAAAAGATGACAAAATTTGGGAAATACTGCCATAATAACAAGTAGGAACCCAGAGTGGACACATGCCAGGATTCTCTGATTTAGAGTTAGCCTAAGGTAATGAGGGGGTCTACTTTCAGAATCTATGGCTTGTAAATTCTCAGCTGGACACTGCAATAGGTGTGTCAAGATGGACTCAGGAATCAAGACAGAATCAGGACCAGCTGGGGACTGGACCACAGAACTCATCTGACATAAGTAAGAAGCGGGCACAATCAGATTATCTTGGTATTATCATAGGAAATACCAAACAAGAACAGAGGAGGAACAAAGGTCAGATCCTACGGCCATATTCAAGGTCAAAGCCAAAGCAGGAACTACTTAGGAGACAGGGCACCCACCCTGTGAATGGTGTGTACTAAGCCTGGATTCATTCTCCTTCGTCCACATGGGCCTGGATTCTGATATTGCTTCCTCCTTCAGGCAGTTAAATCTCAATTTACTACCTCTATGCAAGGCTCCAAGAGACAGAGTACTTTCTTTTGTGCACATCTAAAAAGCCAACGGGTCTCTACTCATCATCTCACTTTCCTAGTAAACTGAAGCAGACTGTTGCTGCCATCATGAAAGCAGCGTTTCCCTAAGTCTCCAACATTGAGTCCCCCTTCCCAGACTCCATGCTGGGGTGAAGAGACGGGTATCCCTGTCATGTTGGATTGGAAGACAGAATGAGTTTTTCCGTAGAAAAAAATGTTATAAATGGAAAATAGGTTTTGATGAATTAGTAGAAATAATGTTTCATATATATCCCAGATTATATAGGATTCTGCAAGCTAGACTGGGAACCAGATTAGCAATTATGTCACCACTTCAGTGGGAAAATGCTTTAATGCTATAAAATGAAAATTCAGGTTACAACTGTTGCATAGGTAGCAACTAGCTTAGGAATACAGCAAATTCCTTACTAGTGAATGCTTAACACTACATATCTTAAATTTTATCTTTCTTTTAACATCTTTCAGAAAAATAATGGTTTTATCATCAATAGTGGCTGGTATTCAAGTCTTGTACTATTGAAAAAAAACCGATCAGGGGTGCCTAGCCTGCTCAGTTGGTTAAGTGTCCAACTCGTTTTTTGTTTTCTGTTTTTGTTTGTTTTGTTTTTAAATCTTTATTCACTTTTGAGAGAGAGACAGAGTGTGAGCGGGGGAGGGGCAGAGAGAGAGGGAGATATAGAATCCAAAGCAGGCTGCAGGCTCTGAGCTGTCAGCACAGACCCTGGCACAGGGCTCGACTCAAGAACGGAGAAATCATGACCTGAGCCAAAGTCGGACCCTTAACCACCTGAGCCACCCAGGTGCCCCTAAGCATCCAACTCTTGATCTCAGGTCAGGTCTTGATCTCAGGTTGTGAGTTCAAGTCCAATACTGGGCTCCACACTGGGCATGAAGCCTACTTAAAAACAAACAGTCCGCCCAAAACAAAAACCCTGCATGAAGCCTATTTAAAAACAAACAGTCCCTCCAAAACAAAACCCGCAAAACTGATCACTCTCCCCCTTATTACAAAAGCAGGATCAATCTTTATATCTGAAGACAATTCCGGACATATCAATGTAATTTTAACGGACATTTCTCTAATCAGCTCTTAGGTGAACGAAGTTATTTATGGGATGAACTAGAATGCCTGCTTGTCTCCCACCTTGCCATACTGACAGTAAATTATTTCCTGTTCTGACCATAATGCTTTAACCCAATGTTTTCTACACTTGTCTGATGAAAAGAATTACATGAGGTACTTTTAAAAACAAGAATGCCTGGCCCCAGCCTAGTAATGAATCAGAATCTCTAAGGGAGAGGTCTGGGAATTGCACATCTACATTGCTCATCCCTGGTGATCTTGTCATCCAACCCCGTGGTCCTTACCCTGGAGGGTGAATTAGACTAGCCAGGAGGGCTGGTGAAAACACAAGTTGCTGAGCCCCAGCCCAAGAGCCTCTGATCCATTGGGCTGGGGTAGGGATGGGGGGAGCTGGGAATTTGCATTTCTACCAAGGTCCTTAGTGATGCTGATGCCGTAGGTCCAAGGACTACACTTCCAAACCACTTATTTAGCTTGTTTGGTAAACATTGCAGCTGAATTCAATATTACTTATTTTCTTCCTTCCTTGGTAGAAAACCAACATTGGATTAAAACTCACAAGACTTCATTTGGAATAATACCCTTGCTACTTTTTAGCTGCTTGATGTTAGACAAATGAATTTATCACTGCATCTCAATTATCTTTTTTTAATTAATTAGTTTATTTATTTATTTAGAGAGCATGTGCTCAGGAGAGGGCCAGAGAGAGAGAATCCCAAGCAGGCTTTGGGCTGTCAGGGTAAAGCCCAAGGTGGGGCTCGTCTCACGAACCAAGAGATCATGACCTGAGCCAAAATCAAGAGTCAGCCGCTTAACGCACTGAGCCACCCAGGTGCCTCTCAGTTATCTTTGATAAGGAAGCATAAAAAGGTAACAGAAGGGAAGAAGTTTGGTCCTGTACTTGGCATACAGTAGGCCTGCATCAAACATCTATGTACTTTGATTTCTTTGGCATGATCCCTTCCTGTGAGCAATATACAAAAATGCTGAATTCTAAAAATAGGTCCCCAAATTTATTACATGCACTAAAACTTCATTTGGTTAAAACAGAAGAACAGTCAAGCACTTCTCTTCCTTGTGAGCTATCATGTAGCCAACACTCTGAACATAACATGCGCAACAGGAATATACTCAGTTTCCCAACTCAGGTTTCCCAGGGACATAGGGAAATGAAAATAGAAAAACAAGGAGTCATTAGATTATGATTAGGTTCTCTGCTTAATTTTGATTTGCTGAATTTTGTGACTGGGAATGGATTATTTTCCCAGCAAATCTTTGTTGTATTGTTTGGCTACTTGTTGTGACCTGAAAATCAAATGAATCATAGACTCTCAGGATCAGAGGGCTCTGGAGGTCATCTAGCCCATCCACCCACTCCAAGAATGCCACTGCAAACACTTCCAATGTGTGGTGGTCCAGTTTCTTCTTGAATACCCAGTGAGGATACACCACTTTCAGTGACCCCAATCGTCTCTTCAGAGGACTGCCTAACATTAGATTTTCCCACTTCTGTGCAAAAGTCTTTATTTCTGTAATTTCTGTATCTTTGGTCCTTGTTTTGTTCTCTGTGGTGCCTGGGTATGTCTAATCTCTCCTCCATCTGACAGCATTTTCAGTATTCTGAAGCAGTGCTGACATCTTCTTTGCCTATTCCTTTTCGATCTGAACATTCTGTTTAAGCAACTATTCTCACCATCAAAATTTCCATACATTTAACAGCCTTGGTCCTTCTCCTGTGTACAAAGTCCACCGTGAGGATATTTTTACGTCCTATCATCACCAACAAAAATAAGTCAGAAGAACAGTGGCATGTTACTTTCCAAACAGAGTTTCTGAGAGCTGGAAGCTAGAGTCATACAAAAGTACACTGTAAGGACTTACACCGTAAGTACACCGTAGAGACAGCATCTCCAGGACAGGCTTTGACATGGTACACGAAGCAGGTGGATCTGGACCTAGCATGAGCTTACTTGCAACAGAAATGCTATGCTGTCACTTAAATTACTGAAGACCAAAAAGCCTCTTTCTAAGGAAGACAGAGTGAAACAAAAGGTATCTCTTACTTTCTACGAAACATTTCTGCAAATATGCAGCCAACACTCCAGAGGTCCACGGGGGTGGCGTAGCTGGACTGAAGCAAGACTTCTGGAGCTCTGTACCACAGCGTGACGACCTGCAATGGCAAACAGATCTGAGCGTTACTGAGGAAGATGGCTGGTTGCTTAAACTTCTCATCCTGGCTGGTTTAATGCCAAGATCCAGTTCAGAAAGAGCTCTTAGCCATCATATGGGGACGCTGAGATAGAAGCAATAAACAACTAGGACTCATTATTGACAGGTCAGGAAATGACATCATCCCCACAACCTGGGTTCCCACCTCAGACTTGGGTGTTTCTTACTAGGATGGTAAAATAACTGAATTTCAGAAAGCAAAGCAAAGACTTAAAAAAACACGAATCTCAAAATTGTTCTTTTTGTTAAGGGGCTTAAAAAAACAATACATGGAAAATAAGTGTAGGCAATGATTCTAGCTCAATTCCTAGGTCAGCAGTATTGGGAAATCAGAAGATGAGTCCAGTGGTTGCTGGATGTTGACCTTGAAGTGTAAAGAGCACCCAGGACAAGTCAAAACTACTCGTATCATGAGACTGTGCAAAATCAAAATAAACCCCCTTCAATGCCGCTCTTTTCAGAAAACAAATAAAAACAACTTAAGACAGAATGTGTAACTGAATTGTTTATACTATGTGTAAAAAAGCCATCCAGAGTACCGGATTCCCAAATAGGAAGAATCTCCTTTAATACAGAGTAGTGTACAGTAACAGGTGAAACAAACACAACTGTAACTACTTCTGCAAGGCTGGCAGGTAAGGAAACAGATGTATAGGCTTCAGCCTTATACTGTATAAATACTGTATACAGTATATAGGGGTTCAAGTGCTTCTCTTTTGGGGAGAGCAGATATTCTATGAATGCCTGAAATAAAGTAATATTCTTTACCGTCAGATAAGGAATTCAAGACATAAATCTATTACATAAGCATTTTGTATTATTCAGATTCCTTTTATCCTTACTTATTGTTTTGTTTAATTGTACTTTTGTTGACATCTATCTAAACTTCCTAAAATTCTCCTTTATGTACTTTGATGCTATAGTACTTGGTGCATGAAGAATGCAGTAGCAATTCTCCAAAACACGACAGCCATCTGTTTCCTTCTTTCCTGTGGGCACATGCTGCTCCTCCTATCAAGGGATGGAGTTAAATTCACCTTCCATTGAGGAGCTGGCCTCAGTGATCTGGTCAACTCAACTAACAGAATATATCCGAGGCTACCAAAACTAGGTCAGCAGAAGCCTGGTAGTCGGGGCCTTTTTGAATGCTTACCCTTGAGACACTTCCTCTGGAGCCCAGGTGCCACACAGTTAGAAGCCCACAAAGATGTTCCAGTGTAGAGCCCCAGCTGAGCTCTTGGCTGAAAGCCATGTGAGTGAGCCGTCTTGGACATTCCAGTTGGACTGGTCCCCCAGACAACTGTGGCCCACCCCTGCCAATGTCACAGTGAGCAGAACTGCCTAGCTGAGTCCAGTCAACTCACAGGATTAGAAGTGATAATAAAATGACTGTTGTTTTAAGTTTGGGGGGGGGCGGATTATACAGCCATATCTTACTGGAACAAGATTCTTGATCGGTTCCTCCTCTTCCTCTCATTTAACAGGTTTTCCTTGGAATTCACACAAGAGGTCAAATTTTGTGTAAGGGATATCTGGTTGATATCTAATGGAGGGATGGTGGTGATGTAATAGAAATTAAAAAAAGGAAGCAGATGGGGTGCCTCGGTGGCTCAGCTGGTTAAGTGTCTGACTTTTGAGTTTAGCTTAGGTCATGATCTCATAGTTAAGGAGATCAAGCCCCGCATTGAGGTCTGTGCTGATAGCGTGGAGCCTGCTTGGGATACTCTACCTCCCTCTCTCTCTCTTCTCCACTAATGTGTGTGCTTTCTCTGTCTCTCAAAATAAAATTAATAAACTTTAAAAAAAAAAGGAAGCAAACAAACCTACAATACCATATAGTGTTACTCAGTTATCATTGGCTCTGCTCTCTTTCCAGCAGTATATCCCATAGTATCTCCATAATCCTTACAGGCTGGTCACATACTAGACCACATCACTGGGTTTCAACCCTGACTGTGCATCAGAATCATCCATGGGGATTTTAGAAAAACATAGATGTCTGGGCCTTATCTCTCTGTCACTGAATTAGGTCTCCATGGTGGGGTCCTTGGAGTTCTTCTCTCTCTCTCTCTTTTTTTTTTTTTTTAACAAAGTTCTTCAGGTAATACTGATCCTTGGCTAGGTCTGAGCACCACTCAATTATATAGACATTTCCTCCAGCTCCTGCCTCCATGCTTTAGTTGATACTGTTCTGGTCTGGGAAGCATTTCTTCTCTCCACATGTGGAAATTCTATTTATCTTACAAAGCCTGCCTCTGATGCCATCACCTCCCTGAACCCAGTGCCACCTGAAAATCACACCTTGTAACATAGTTCATAATACGGTTTGTTTCAGAGGGCATGGACCCGATTTTATCCATAGTTACATCTGTAAATACCCATCATAATACTGCTCGCATAACAACTGGGGTTTAACAAATACCTAATTAATGATTTAAGGCAATCATTGCTGGAAGATAATCGGGCAAAATTCAATCACCAGTCATTCCTGAGAAAGAAGGCACTTACTCCATTTGCTAAGAAGAGCATCCAATTCTGGGCTCTAGTTTTTACTTGCATAAATTATGTCTGCTTTATCAATATTTCCCTGCTTCTCTGATACACTGCAAACAAAAGTGTGGGTGTAAATGGCCCATAAAGTTTCTTCCGCTAGTGGTTTATAAACATAGTGTACAGGCACACACCTACCTTCTCACTTCCATTTGAAATAAAGTCTAGCATCATATGGAATGAAAATTTTAATCTGAATATTGCATTATTTTAAGCTGTTCTAAAGAGGCTCTGATTTCTGACTGATTACCCATCCCAAAACTCTTTAGTAGGACTGTTTTCACTTGTAGTACTTTAATTAGTGTACCTATCGTGATCATCAAATCAATGTGTAGACAGTTAAAATAACTATACTGATATGTTTAGAAAGTTCCTTTCTATTCCTTTTAAAAATTAGCTACCACTCAAAATGGATAATGAATTTTTATGAAATATCTTTAAATGTCTATTAATAATGACCACGTGATCATTCTCCTTCATTCTATGAGTGGTATATTAATCACACTAACAGATATCCTAATATTGTACCATCCTTGCCTTTTTGGAGTAAATCACTCCCAATCATGATATATTATTCTTTTCATAGACCCTTAGATTCTATCTCTTAATATTTATTTAGAATATTAACTTATATTCATAAGTGAGACTGATCTACAGTTTTATTTTTTGGGTTAATTTTTCATGTTTTGATATTAGAAATGTGCAAGGTTTCTATCCTCTGTATTCTGGAATATTATAAGCAACATCAGAATGATCAGTCTCTTAAAAGGACTCACTCATAAAACCATCTGGGTCAGGATCTTTGTTAGCAGTTACATATTTAACAATCTTTTGAATTTCTTCTTAAGTCTGTTTAGATTTCAGTCTCTTTTTGAGTCAATTTTGGTAATGATAAAGGATTTCCCCATGAAAACCCTTAATCTGGATTTTAAAATGTATTGGCTTAAATCTGTACATAGTATTTCTTATAATTATTGTAATGTCATTTGTTTCCTTGGTTTTCTGAGAAAGAGAAAATCGAATTTTCTTTCTTAATGTTGTGTAATTTTGTTTTTTCTTCATATCAAGTTTTCCAGGAGCTTAAGTTGTATTATTTATTAAAAACAACTGACATAGAGCTTTATTTCCCTTTTGGGGGAATAACTTTTATTTTATACTTTATTGACTTCCACTTTTATCTTTATAAATTTCCCCATCCTAGTTTCTTTGTTTGCCTTTATCTGTCTATGTCGAAACTTGACTTATTTTCAATTCTAAATAATGATAGAAAATTTACTTATATATTTTTAAGTGGACTTTTCTCATTTTCGTTCTTTAAATAATATATAATTTAACTTTAATTTTCTCTTTAATCCAAGAATAAACTACTTTGAAGAATACATTATGTAGAAAAGTGTTTTAGGGGCGCCTGGGTGGCTCAGTTGGTTAAGTGTCCAACTCTTCGTTTTGGCTCAGATCATGATCTCAGTTTCATGAGTTTGAGTCCGAGTAAGACTCTGTGCTGCCGGTGAGAAGCCTGCTTGAGATCCCTCCTCTCTCCTTCTATCTCTGCCCCTCACTTGCTTACTCTCTCTGTCTCTCTCAAAATAAATAAATAAACTCAAAAAAATGTTTTAAAATTTCCATGTGGTCAAGTTATTTATTTCTCTTTTTAAAAAATGCTTATTTTTGAGAGAGAGTACACATGCTTGAGTGAGTGGGGAAGGGGCAGAGAGAGAGAAAGACAGAAGATCTGAAGCAGGGGCTGTCAGTGCAGAGCCCATGGGGCTCGAACTCAAGAACCGCTGTGATCTCAGTTGAAGTCAGACTCTCAACCTACTGGGTGCCCCTATGGTTATTTTTTAATTGTTGGAATCTCAGGTTTACAAATCCATGGTCAGAGAATGTAACCTGTACAATTTTTACTTGAAAGAATTTATTATTGCTTTCTGAAGGACTATGTGCATACCTGGATTTTGTAACATAGGGTATCAGAAGAGCAATTCTCAAGTCTGAGGTTATTAATAAGACTTTGTCTCATACAGATCCTTATATTTTTCTATACTTTGTCAAACTCTGGAAGAGAATTGAGTTTTTGGTTTTTTTCCCCCAGAATCTCCTTGTATTTCTAAGGGATTCTGCCCTATACACATTGGCCTTATATTCTGGTAAATAAAATTTATGACAACAAAAATATTATTAGGATAATAATAATTTAGCTGATGGTAGACATAAGATATAAAATAAATACATAAATCTTAATAAGTCAGTTACAAAATATAATGTAAAAAGTATCCTATTCACAATAGTAACAAAAAAACACTGATTAAAAAAAAAAGAAAAATCTATATAAATAAAATGATATATATTGTTGAAGAACTTAAAAACTAAATAAATGATGAGACAGACCAT